TAGCCTAACCTTGAGAAGAAAGGAAAATAATGGGCTGATAAAAGGCACCTGACTGCAAAAAAAAACAAAAACCCATCAGCCCAAAGAGGGTATATTGGTGTCCTGAAAGATCCCAATTCTAAAATTCAATTCACCAGAAGGAAAAGGATAGAGGTTGAGCCCCCTCACCTGAGAACCCCTTGGCCAAATCCTAGAGTTCTGGAGACCAGATTCTAGAGTTCTACCTATTGACCAAATCCTAGAGTTCTGCTCAGAGCCATTCCTGCAGAGCCAATAGTTTTTCTTTTCTTTTCTTTTCTAGCAGGACTACCAGATTCTGTAACAGCTTTGTTCCCTATGCTAAACTCACAAGCTTTGTTTTTCTCACCATAAACATGTATACATCCGAACTAGACTGTGTTGTTTAGCTGTGTCATACAATATATGTGGGTATATATATATAATCTTGTATGTATTTATCTTGTCATGTTTATGTAGTGTAAAATTGGAGGTGGTGACCTTTTAAGAGTTGTATGAAACAAAAATTAATTTTTAATGTATGCCAATTAGCGTACATTCAATGTGAGAATAGTTGTCCTATTCTATTCTATTCCCTATTCTATTCCATGTTAGATTTCTCTTCTGCCTTTTATCTAGAACCTCATGATAACTGTAACTAAAATTGTACCATCATCTTTGGGATATGATTGTCTCTAGCCATGCAACCCTCTTGATCTTTTTGAATGCACTCCAGAGATCCGGATTAATCCTTTTAGATCCTGGCATGTTGAGTCACCTTGCCTCGTGAAATGAAATACTGCTACAGCACACATGTATTCTGAATCACCCAGTATGAAACTCCCCCGTTTCTGAAGCTCCTGACTGAAATGCAAACATCATATTGTTGGAGCTAAATAATTACATTACAAACAACAGGGTTTGTCTTCCTAGTAAACATTCAAAAGATAGTTTGTAATGATTCCCTCAAGCTTATTTTTAAGATTGTAATTATCGAAAGATATAAAGGTGTGATTTGACACTGAATGTTTCTTCACAGAATTATGTAAAAAAGATACTCTCTGTTTCAACAAAGCTTATATGTTTCATTGTGGTTGTTTGGATACAGATTCACTGCATTCTAAATGTTAATAACCCTTTGCGGAAAAAGGAACAGCTCTTACAGCTTTCTTTGTTAATTGGGTCAAAAAAAAGAATTTCAGTATGAGTAATTAAAACTACATAAATGGAATTCAGGCTCCTACACAGCTATTAAAAACAGACAAGTTTTCCCTGACATCTGGCTTCCCTATTTATTCCCCTACCTGCTCACCAGAAGAATTTTGTATAATATAAGAATTATTTTCTGGTTGATTTCTTCACATGCCTCAAACTTTGCACTGATGGTATTACCTAGTCACCTAATCAAGCATCTGCAAGCAAACTACCAAGTTCTGAGCAGCAAGGAGTCCACCAACTTTTCCTCTGCAGGAAGAGGCTTGATGGTGCAATGTTGCACACACACCAAAGGCTCAAAAAGGAGGCCCACAAAATCAACAGAACTAATGCCCAGGAAGCAGAAGAAAGTTCTGACATACAAGATGGATATCAAAGTGGTTTTTTTTTAATTCTTCTCCATCTAGTTTAGAGGCAGCCACTTAAAATCCAAGTTGCTTCAGGTGGTTCCAGGTAGGTAGGTAGGTAGGTAGGTAGGTAGGTAGGTAGGTAGGATACATAGATACGATATTGAGAGAGAGAGAGAGAGAGAGAGAGAGAGAGAGAGAGAGAGAGAGAGAGACTACATAGATATGATATTTAGATAGATGGATGAATGGATAGATAGATAGATAGATAGATAGATAGATAGATAGATAGATAGATAGATAGATAGATAGATAGATAGATAGATACATGCATGCATGCATACAATATTGAGATATAGATATGATATTGATAGATATAGATAGATAGATATGATATTGAGATAGATAGATAGATAGATAGATAGATAGATAGATAGATAGATAGATAGATATGATATGATATTGAGATAGATAGATAGATAGATAGATAGATAGATAGATAGGATATTGAGATAGATATAATATTGAGATAGACAGACAGACAGACAGAAGATAGATAAGACAGTGGGAAGAGAAAGAGGGAGGGAAAGAGAAAGAGAGGGAGAAGGAAAGAGAGAGAGAAGAGGGAGGGAAGGAGGTTAGGTTGGCAATTGAGGCAAGGAAGTTTCAGGTGCCCTATAGCAGATGCCCCTTCTGAATGTTTTTCATTGAATCCCAAAGAGACAATAATTTTTAAAAAGCAGGCTATTCATAGATAGCCTTCAACTGCTTTCTCACTAAGCATGTGGAAGAACATCACATCATCCCAGGGAGTTTCTCCAAAATGTCCACCTCCTTTGAAAGAATTGTTAAAAAGGACAACCTCTCCTGAGCTTTGAAAGAATTGTAAAACCTCTTTTATCCAACCTCATGAGACCAGTACAAACATAAAAATGCAAGGGATGGGAATTCCCCCTGATTCTACCTTGAAATACTTTCCCATTAGACATGTTCTCTCCACCACCCTGCACACTGTAACTTCCGCTCATTTGAAAGATCCCACCAGAAAGAAGATGTTCCCATAAATAGAATTCCAACTATAGTTTTGAATTAATAATTCAAATAATCCATACTTGCTTACTGATGGCTTTTCAGTAGAAGCAGGTTTGGCTTTAATTATTTAACCTTTTTTTTTACATTTGTAACTGAGTCAACAATTAGCCACAATCCTAAGTACATATCTCTAGTTGTTCAAGACTTTGCTGGTTTTGGTCAATAAAATAATAATAACAATTACCTCAACAGCCAACTTTTTAAAAAGGCAAAACACTGCATTTGCTATGCTGGTATTCTGGCACAGATCAGAAATATTTGTGGTCTGGGGCAATTAATTAAAGCCTGATTTGTAAATTGGCAAGAAAGATATATAATGTATAGAAATATATAATCATGATTCTATGGACCCCTCATTTTGTAGGTTTCCTTTTAGCCGTGTTAAAAACAAAACCCTCTTATAACCATTGCCATCTGATTGACAGAATAAAATAATTGCCCATTATCTTTTCTCTTCCACTTTCTGTCTCTCTCCTCCCCTCTCTTTTATTTATTTATTTATTTATTTATTTATTTATTTATTTATTTATTTATCCCAACAGAGTTACCAAGTCTGTTTCGCAGAGCCCAGTTTGAAATAACCACTGCAAGAATTAGCAACATCCAGCAGCTTAATAGAAAGGAGTCCATTTTAAATGAAGGTATATAAGCCTGTAACTACTGTATCTGAGCCGCCTGAAAACCTAATACAAATTTTCCCCACTAGGTTCAACAATCAGCAGTAAAAATGTGCTTGGAGGAAGGAAGGAAGGAAGGAAGGAAGGAAGGGAGGGAGGGAGGGAGGGAGGGAGGAAGGAAGGAAGGAAGGAAGGAAGGAAGGAAGGAGGAAAGGAAGAAAGGAAGGAGGAAAGGAAGGAAGGAAGGA